TATATTTTCTAAACAAAACAAAATTAGAAATGGAATGTTTTTCGTTTCACTATGATTTCACTTTGAAATTAGTAAAACCATTGTTTAAATATGTTTAAATATTACAAAATAATGTTAATCTTAGATCTATGTTTTATATTCGAAAGTATTTTTAATTATTTATATAAAAACATTTTTCGAGTAAACTGTAAATTAAATCATAATCAATCTATTTGATAAATATATGAATGATTTAAATTAATTGAAGAGAAGAAGAAAATACAGATAAAGAATGATTTGAGTTTGTAATGGTTCACGTGATCAAATGTCCTTTGTATGCAAAAGAGGTCAAAAAGTTTGAGTTAAAAATTGATTGATGATACTGACCATAATAATACGAGAATGATAAAATAAATGAAAACAAAAACCTCTAATGCATAATATGTATCGTTGTCAAATGTAAACAATCTCTTTTTTCATTGTTATATTTTTATAGCTTTTTCCTTTTAGAGAATCACAGAAATTTTTCTATTCCAAAATTCAAAACCTTTTGAGTTCTTCATAAGTGCGCAGATCAGTCGTAAAAATAAAAATGTTTTATATAAAAAGGCAATGAAACTGTGCAAATATATAATATGAAATCTGGTTGATGAAGCTGCTGTTAAATGAAAAAAAGTAAAAAATCAATACATTCAAAAATAAAATTTAATGTTATTTTCCTATATTACTTTAAGTAATTTGTGCGTCATTACGTAGATTTTTTTTAATGCTTCAATGTCTGTAGAACATTTTTTATAATATCTGTTTAATTTTTGTTAGTTCATATGAAAGATAATTATTTTATTTCATAATTTGTTTTTGTTTTCTTTATTTCACTTTTTAAATATTGAGCCACAGGTTCTGCTGACTCATTTTAGTTAAATCCTTCAATAAAATTTTGTTCTGTATCCTTCATTGTTTGGACTCACTGATGGATGACAGCCAGTGATTCGTCAGTAGTCGATGTTATAAAGACTACGTTTTTTGCCTTTCTTTGTTTGATTAAATGTGCGTGGTATCAATAATATATATGTAGATAATACAATGCAGAACACTCGAAATTCAGAGCCTACTGATCCGGCTAATCAACCTCGTGATGTTATTGAGCGATTATCAATAGATCAACGAGCACATTCAGAACGTTCATCTGAGTATACAAATATGAATCATAGTATGTTTTTTTTTTATTTATTTTTTTTATTTTTGTTAGACAAAGATCATCAATATTAAAACAATCAACTCGAAATTCGAAGCATAAAACTGCTTATATTTCGTAAGTATTTGCTTATGCTTTTTAATTTTTCGATCATGATCTTCAATATTCAAATTAGAATACGTCAAGCATCATGTTTATTAACACAACAAAAAAGTCATGTATTTTATAACAAATATATAAAAGAAGATGTATTTTTTAATTTTTAATCATTTGTTTATTATTTTATTTTATTTCAAAATAGGGATCTTATCAATGTTCAAAGTTTGCTCAATATTCGAGAAATGCAATCTCGACAACGTAAACTTCATGATACTTTATCATATGAAGATCGTATTATAATAAATGTATCTGGTGATCGATATGAAACTCATCGTACAACACTTGAGCTTTATCCAAATACATTACTTGGAAATCGTAAACGACGTAAATTTTATTATGATAAAACTCATAATGAATATTTTTTTGATCGTAATCGATCATGTTTTGAAGCAATACTTTATTATTATCAATCACATGGTCGATTAAGACGACCAAATTATGTTCCAATTGATATATTTCTTGAAGAAATTAGTTTTTTTCAATTAGGTCAAGAAGCTCTTAATCAAATACGAAAAGATGAAAATATTAAAGAAGTTAAAAAAGTACGTTTACCAAAAAATCGTTTTCGAAGACATTTATGGGCAACTATGGAATATCCTGAATTCTCGATTATGGCTAAAATAATCAGTATTTTATCATTACTTATGATTCTTCTTTCAACTATTGCTCTTGCTATTGAATCATTACCACAATATGTAAATACTGACCAATTAGTTTGTTACTATTCATCAGTTAATGGTTCAAACGATACAAATGAAACAGAAGAAGTTATAAACAATAATCAAACTATCTGCAATGATTATCTAAGATCACCGTTTTTTATTATTCAAACTGTGTGTATTGCATTTTTTACAGTTGAACTTATTCTTCGTATAATAAGTACACCGTCATTTGTTGATTTTGTAAAATCTATAATGAATTGGATTGATGTCGCAGCTGTTGTGCCATATTATGTTACACTTGGTATCTATCTAGCTGATCGAAATCATCAAATCAATACAACAACAGCTGATGGTCTTCGTCTGTTGCGTATTCTTCGTTTCACACGTGTTCTTAAGTTTTATCGTGTATTTAGAAGTGTAAAATCGTTACGTGCTCTTGGAGCAACTATTCGAGAATCAGTACCAGATTTTTTTATTATGATTAATATTTTAACATTATTAAGTGTTCTTTTTGGTGCTGTTGCTTATTTTGCTGAAAATGATGCAAACAGTCAAGCATATGATTCTATAGTTAAAGCAACCTATTGGGGAATTATTACGATTACAGGTGTTGGGTAAAAACAAAAGCTAATAATTGTTGTTTTTGATTCTAAACACAAGAATATTTTTTTTTAGATATGGTGATATAACACCTATCACACCAGTTGGACGAATAGTAGCATGTTTATGTGGATTATGTGGTGCTACAACAATTGGTATGCTTGTATCAATTCTTGTTGATCGATATCAACGTGTTTTTGCTCGAAAACTATACATACATGAAGATATAATTGATCTTCATGATTTTTCTGATGATGAAAATAATGATGGAGATTCTAGAGTTGGTTCGTTTCAACTTCATCAGCGTTATAGTATGAAAGACATTGAAGATCCTGATGCTAGAGCGAAATTTAATTCACTATCTACAATGGATGATAAACATGCAATGCCTACAATCAAAGTTTTATCGACACCTGATGTAGATGCCATCAATGAAAATCCAATAAATC